ACACAGAACACACACATGTAATGTAGGCACTCCTGAAACACATCTTACTGAGCATGCTGGGATTTGCCCGTGACAAAAAAAAAAAAAAAGCGCAGTGTGAAGTGTGTATGTGTCACGTCAGTGTGCTGTCAGCATGTGGGGTTGCAGTGAATGAGGAACCGAGATGGCGCGCCGACATCGCATGGCGGTCCAGGCGGACTTTGCCAAAGCCGTCTGTCCCCAAATTATCACCTCCGTCTCCAGCATCCCCGTCTTTTCAGCACCTCTCAGCGGCTCCGCTCCCTCTCAGCAGTCGCCAGAGCCTCCGAAAATGAGCTGCACAGCTGAATCCATTCTTAATGGGCAACACACACGTGCAGGCCTCACACATCAGGGACGGGGATTTAAAGGATTTCATTAATTCAGTTTATTATTTTATAACTCTGGAGCAAAAAATCTAATGAAAAGAACATATTGTTCATAACAGTATACACAGGAAACATTTAAAAGAGCACAAACTAAAGGATATCTGTGAAGAATAAATCACTCGAGTTCTTGAGCTACAATTTGCAGCCTGACTAACATTCTGCATAACATCCGTTTTTCATTTTGCTTGTTATTGGAGGTGAAACTGCTGTGCTTAGGTTGTCTTTGTGGCTCTGTTAGAGTTAAATATCAGCTTTAACCTGAGCTAACAGATGCACTCGTACCGCAGTAGCTGGAGGAAATGCAGAGCTTGCCCGTGAGCTTTCAAAAACACCACAGTTCTATCATTTAATGGAATGCATCGTCGACAAATGTTTAAGCATACTGGTGTTTTTCACAGCCTTTGGCTTTTACAGCCAGTTTCCATCTGTATTTTCTGTCAGGCTGTGGATGACTAATTGTTTTTCTCAGCTTGTTGTTGGGTAGGCCCCGATAAACATCCATAAGACAGATCTTCTTTTTATAACGGTTATGGTATTGATTTGATACATTAATAATTAAGATCACAGAGAGGTTACACAGAATAAACCCTGAAATGTCCCCCACTTGTGACAGATGCCTTTTAACAAGTGACACACAACTCCACAGTTTTGGTCTGTGACCCAAAGTTAAGATCTACTGGATCACTATTTTCAAACTTATATCTAAAGTACTTGAAATTAGAACCAGAACTGCTCATTATTATTCTAGGATTGTCTGGTGATGTCAAAAAATTAACCCAGCTATGTTTCCTATCCTATAGTCTCATTATTGCAAAAAACTGCGACTTATTCATTGAAAAAATAAAGAAGTCCCCATTGCAAAGATGTGGCTCAGTGATCTTACAAACACACTTCATCCAGAGAGAATAAGATTTGGACACCTCTCACTCATTGTCTTACTTCTGTGACCTAAAATCGGCATTGTGATGCAAGGGTAGGGGTGGTGGGATGGGCGTTGTCTTTTTTAAATATCGTTATTATTATTTATTTATATGTGTATTTTTATTTTGTTGTACATAAATATGTATGCATGTATATGCTGTGTGTATGGATGTATATGTATATATATTTTCTCAGTTATTACCGTTCAGTATACTTATGTTGAGTAAAAAGGAAAAGGAGCATATTACGATCCAACTGCATGTATGTGTATTGATAAACAGTACTTGCTTAATTAAATGGATATCTGTCTACATGAGATCATTGACTTTTAAAATGCTGTATTTAAATGCCTGTATTAATAATATATGTGACATTTCTTTATAACAATGGCTGATTTATATAGTTTATAGTGACATAATATCCTCATATGATATATCCCTGAATGATCCTATTGCAATTGTAAATGCACTATATGTGGAAACTGCAGGGAACTTAAGAGTTTTTTAACATCTGAAGATTTTATTGAGGTTTTCCAATAAAGCCTTGAATGTCTGACATCATCAACTTAAAAAAAACATCATAGAGCAAAATTTTCAATATGACTAAAGTGATTCATCAGATTAATTGTCTTTTTTATGACATCAACTTTCTTTGATGAATAAATGTAATTTAAGGTGCTGTCAGATTGCTACTAGACCACCCTGTTAATACAGTGTGCCTCCCTTTGTGAGCGGCAAGCAGGGGACCAAATGCTTTTGAAAATCTTGTTTTGAAAAAGGATTAACGGCAACAAATATGGATAGAAGCAGAACATTTCATTAGATAAAAACATGTTGCGAGTTTTGGAAATGTTACATTTATCTTTTTTCAATAAATTTGAACTTGTAGACTTTACAACCCTCTTGAGATACTGGGCAGTATTTGAGCTTTGAACTATTCAGTACAGCCCTAATAAATAGTAACTAATAGCACAGTGAGTGCAGTTAAATTAAGGAAACACGTATAAATTGAGAAACAAAAAAAGCAAATAAAGAGTACATTTTGACCAATTTAAGTCCAGGTACGAAGGGTGCGAGGGGTGGTGGATGGATCCAACAGCTACAGATTTTCATCTGAGAGGCTAGTGTTCAATCAATCAATTTTATTTATAGAGCCCAATATCACAAATAACAATTAGCCTCAGAGGGCTTTACAGCATACGACATCCCTCTGTCCTTTGGACCCTCACAATGGATAAGATTGTAAAGCCAAACCCTGTTGATTTTTCCTAAACCCAACCATGAGTTTTTGTTGCCTAACCCAACCATGTGTTGGCAAAACATAACGAAGTGCGTTTGTCTTTGAAGGGAAAAAAAAAAGTCTATTTGCAGTGTTGTCCCAATATAGTGTGTTTGTTTTGAAAGAGACTTATGCAAACTGTACATTTCCTTTGAAAGTGTATTTTGAAAACACACAATACATGTAACAAGCTGTTGACATGGCGTCCCAGAACGTCAACAGCCAACGCACCCAGGATACCTTGCAGATCACATGTCAAAGGGGAAAGTCCACGACCAAACATTGATATCTGACAAGGTTGGAGTGAGAATGTGTTAATCAAATGGAGAAACATGCTGCAAGTAGCTCGGGGCACAATGAAAACTGTTTCCGGGGGACACTAAACAAGGCGCACATGGCTGAAGTTAACCTAGCATAAGCTTATTACTTATTACTACTACTACTACTGTGTGTATTTGCATGCAAATTCTTTGTATATTATGCGTTGAGCCTTCAGGGCCACTGTAGCAGACTGATTCCCAATCACTTCCATGGAGTTAGGTATATAGATACCACATAGGAGAAAGAAAAGAGCACTGTTATGGGAAAGACCAATATGCTGAGTTCAGAGCTTCCCACAGAATGAAAATGTATGTGTGGCTGTATGAGGAACACAGCGCAGCTAGAGATGTATTTTTTTCCTTAGCATCACTTCATGACTTGTGAAATGGGAAATTGATTTGTTAAGCTGTTAAGCTGATCAGATCCCAGAGGAGCAGCTGCTGCAAGTGAATGCACACTTTAAGACCCTGCATAATGACTGCTTTAGCTTCACTGTCAATGGGCCTGATGTTGTGCTGCTCTGTTTCTGCGCACAGACCACATGGTGCTATGCTGTAAATATCTATTCCAGTAGCACTGAATGAATGAATGAATGGTCAGGCTCCATAAATAGAAAATCTATTTGTGGCGGCTGATGTTTTAACAATGGCACGCTGCCACAAATGAATGAATGTGTGGGGAAACTCTGGTGTTTTAGGTATCAAGTCAAGTCAAGTCAAGAGACTAAGATGCTGTTTGGTTAATTGAAGTTGTGAAACCTGTCTGTTCAACATTTTATGAATAAGACTTTAGTTTAGCTTATTAGGAAACTGTAAAAAATGCTCATCAGAGGTCAAGGTCGAGGTCTAAAACCCCAAAAAATGTAGTTTAAAATTGTATAAAATAAATATCTTTTAATTTAAGTAGTTGAAATTAGAAAATGTTTGGCTTGAGAAACAAATTTTATTGTGAAGCCAATTATTTGTGATGAAATATTGTTAAAAAAAAAAAAAGTGAGTATAAGTGACTGAATGAGCGCTTCTTAGTCAAGCTTTCTGATACTACATACCTGTCACAGAGACATCATGGTGTGCTGATTAATAGACAGATAATTGATCAACAACAATTCTAATTCCAATTCTAATAACTGATTAATGATTACAGTTATTTGATCAAGGCACAATAGCAGTCAGTACCAGCTTCTCTAATTCCAGGATTTATTGCTTTTCTGATTGTAAACTGAGTATCTCTTGCTATGGCCTGTTGGTCAGACCTCAGGCTCTCAGAACTTGGGAGTTGGGAGAATTATAATTTTGTTAATTAAAGGAACGATTCATTAGTTATTCGGAAAAAAAAACATTTAAATTTTAGTAATTGTAGCCCTAAAATGATTAGTTAATCAATTAATCAATAAATCAATCAAGAAATTTTTTAAAATGCCAATTATCAACTGCGAGGATTCACTGTTTGTTCTTTGATGGCAAATTGAAAATCTTTGGGTTTTGGACTGATGGTCGAATAAATCAAGACATCAGATAATATTAGCTTGGGCTTTATGAAATTTATTATCAACTAATAAAGGTTACAGTCCTCAGATTAACCATTAATGGATGGTATTTGCAGTTTTACCAAGTTTGGCAAAATGCACCCACCTGTTGAATTCTGGCTGAATTTTTGAAACTATAAACCCAGGAAGTGTTCCTCCAATGTTAAATCACTGTAGAAATGGACAAATACTGAAAAATAAATTGATTGAATAAGTCTTAGAAATCAGAGTCTTCGGAAATGGTTCTCTGTAATATTTATTTTATTTAGTTTAGATTGTAGTTTAGCCTATACATCCTCAGGAAGTTGTAGAAAAATGCCCATCAAGAGGTGCCAGAGAACAAGGTGACATCATCAAAAAGCAGTATTATAAGTATTACATTTCCAGTGACATAAATCTTCCAATTTAAGAAGCTGAAATCAGAAAATATGTAGCTTGATATGTGACTTAAACTGTGAAACTATTTTTGTTTGTTTCACCCCTTCTCTGAATTCCCATCTTTACCGCACAATCTTTATATCAGCTGTGCTCTGTTGTGTTCCTCTAAGGTGTCAGGCAGCTGCAGAGAAGAGGAAGAAGAAGAAGAGGAGGGAGGAGGTGATGTTCTCTATCAGCTCACTGTGACCATTCAGTCAGCGAGGGTTTGAGCCTCTCCTCGGGCCTGGACTATCTGCCCACTATCTTAAAGCAAAAGGAACGAGCAGCTAACCTTCCTGACCTGACGCCTCACTCTCTTCCAGTCCCCACTGCCATGGCCTTCACCTTGTCAGAGATCATGGCGGCGAGACGGCAGCAATCTCAGGCTCAGTCACACGCCCAGCGAGGCAACAGGACGGCGGTGGAAGTGGATGAATATAGCACCAACCCCACTCAGGCCTTCACCTTCTACAACATCAACCAGGGACGCTTCCAGCCGCCGCACGTCCACATGTGAGTAGATAGAAGAAACAGGCCTGTACACATTCATATGCAGCAGGGATGATGCTTAAAGGAGCATCCAGCTGTCATTTACACTTACGGCACATTTCATTTTGTTGACCCTTTGGCTTACATTTCCTCTGACCATTGCACCCTGGATATAATGTAGTATGATAATAATTTGTTCTGCATTTATTTTACATTATTTTTTAGATTAAAACCAAAAAAAATATTTTTATCTGTTAAAGATGTATTTCAGTGTTCAAGGAAATAAGCTTCTTCACTTTCTTGATTAAAGAGAGCTCACTTGCAAACACCAGGCCACACTGCCTGTGTGAGCAGTGCATGCTGGCTACCTTTCTGAACTGCTGTGGCTCGCATGCGGACAGTTTGTTGCTGTGGCACTGCTGCAGAGCCTCCTGCTATTTTAACTACTGTACTTCCACAATTAAGTTCCGGTACTCCACTTATTTATGCAGCCATCCAAGCCACAACATTTTCAACAACATGGTCATGCAAATATTTCACAAGGAAAAACCTTGTGTTAAATGAAGGGATTCTGTCCACAGAAACATTGTCGGAAGCCTTTATGTTAACATGGAGACAAGAACTGGTGTTAAAAAGGAATATATATTTGTGTCTATGACAGATATAGACATTAAAACTGTAGTAAAAGGGGGTATAATGCCAGTAAGATTATCAAAAGACCATTTTTTGTATAAACTTTTGCTAAAACCGCATGGGTCACATGGCAAAAACCCCACAGCAAGACTCCCTGATGTTCCGTAGCTGAGCAGCAGCTGCTCATGCAAGAAGTGTGGCTTCTCTAACCTGTTAACCCATGTGCTGAAAAAGAAAATACACACCTGTGCTGCTTACACAGACAGTGTGGCCCTGGCATAACATATTGGGCCTCATGCAGGAAGCATTATTATTTATTTTTGCTCACATCTATAATTTTTTTCGTTCTCACTGATTTCTGGGATTCACCAATGTTTTCTTATTTTTGGTGTTGTTTTGTCTTAGGTAAGAGGAAATTTACAAGTGGTTGAAAGCACACCAAGATAAGAGAAAAACTTCTCATTTGCACAGTCCACAATTTATTTGTCCAACGTGAGAAACCACAAGTTTTAGATTTGAGGAACATAATTTCTTACACAATTTGAGTTACTTGTCTTGTTTACTATTTATTTTAATCTAATGCAACTTTCTGTTTTGACTCCACTTCACTTCAGAGGAAGATGTTCTACTTTTGACTCCAATACAGTTATTTGATAACTTTATGTTATTAGCACATTACGTAATAAACATAAAGTTATGGAGGTTGTGTCAGTGTTTCCTCTACCATTATATTAGGGGTGCGCCCCACTCCCCCAACAGCACCAACGGCATCAAGTTAATTTTATTTAATTTTATTTTCTGTGTAGCGCCAGATCACAACAGAAGTAATTTACGGTTACCTTTCCTATAGAACAGGTCTATACCTTGTCCTTTTATTAAACAAACTAAATAGTCTTGTGTTATTTATCTTATTTACACAACGGCATGTCATTTCTGTCTCTATATGGTCGCGCCTTTACAATTCTCCTCTGCTCTCTGTATCGCGCAAGGCGGAGTTCCACACCAATGCGCACACTAGGGCTGACTTAAAATAATCGATTCATTCGATTCAAATCGATCGTCACTGGAATGACCCAATATTGATTTATAAAATCCGAGATCGGCCTTTTAATATCTACATATGATCAGGAAAATGTATTAACTATTACGTTACATTTTCAATGCAGGACTTTTACTAGTAATTCAGTTCAATTCAATTTTATTTCTAGGGCCCAGTATCACAGGTTACAATTTGCATCAGAGATCTTTATAACATACAAGTATTTTTACAGTGTGGTATTAGTACTTTTACTTGTAAAAGTGACGTTTATTTTCACCACTGCAGGGGATCTTTTTTTTTTCTTATGGCCTTTTTTTGGTGGCATCTCTTGGAAGAACAACCGCACTTTTATAGTGTTTAGGAAGTGTTAGCTATGCTAATAGGTTGCTTATGACCAAGTGGGATTCATCATTCAGCACACCTGGGTAAGAGCAGATCTGGATGGTTAAAATATTTGGTGCATCTTGAGTTAACTTCTATTATTTTTCCTGGCAACAGAAGATTAAGAGAAGTTTAAGAGAATGTTGCTGGATGAGGCCCACTGTATCTTATTTAGCTGACCTATTCAAAGACAGAAACATCAAGGTATCAGTGTTTGGTTGTGAAAGCTACATGTTGAAGCTCATGCTTGTAACAGCAACATCCTTAAAAGGATTTCTGGATTTCAGGAAGTTGACATTATTTTGACTTACTGTAATAACTTGTCATGACCACCAAGTTGGGCTACACAAACACCAACACAAGAAGAAAACATGCTGTTTATTTCTGTTCTGAAACAGGTTTATGTTAGTGGCAGGCCTAGACTGATAATTTTCCTGTTTCATATGTATATTATTATATATCATATTTAGTCAGAAGCCTCTGTCGTTCTGCCCTTGTTTTAATTTGCTGTGGCTGCTGTTTACTGTTATTGCAAACTCAACACTTCCTCTGTGTTTACCTGCTGTTGTAATAAATTCAGCATTGCATACATTTCCACAGCGCTAATTCCACATACAACAAGAGTCATGTCATACACACCACTCTGCTGCCTTGAGTTTAGCAGAAATGCTGTTCTCAGTTATTAATTAATCACTACAGCTTCTACCATGCAGTTTTTGTGATCAGTGTTGAACTACTGTTGATGAAGCGTTACTGTACGTTCACACCAAAAGCTGCTAGAGCTGCAAAATAGCTGAATTTGCTCTAGCAGCGCCACTGGTAAATTATTTGTGGCAGCGAAAGCAGCTCAAGTCGCTCATGACGCCAAATTCTGAATGTTCGATTATGCTTCTCAATTTAAAGGAGCCGCAAAGCAGGTTACTGGCTGGAGCACAGAAATATGACTTTGTGCATTTGCCTGAGTACAGAAACTTTCGCATTTGGACAATGAAAACAGGATAAAAAATCTAAATAGATCTGACATTAAACATTAAACACACACAGCCTGTGTTGCGTTTAGACACTGTCACGTAAATAACAAATTCCAGTACTTGAATACACCGTAGCACAACACAGCAGCATGTCAAGTGGGCCGAACCGGAACCGAATATGAGCAAAATTTTTGTATTTGTTATTCCCCCCCCCCAAAGCTGTAAACCTAGGGGAAACACTGTCAGTTGTTTGGGTTAGAGTGCCTACAGTGCGATTAGTTAAACTGGTGGTAAGGACAGCAAATGGATTGTATTCCCACTAATAATAAGCGTTCCTGAACACAAAGAAATTGTATAAGTACGTGCGCTTGTCCACACTTGCGTATCGATTCAACATGGCAGAAGACACTTGTAATTTGTGCTGCCGTGTGGTGCCTGCGCCGCCGTCGGTTCTGGGTTCACGATATCCTCCGGGAACTAAAAGTATCTGAGGATGTTCACTGGGTTCCACACAAGCAATGGACATCTACTTTTCGATTGGTGTCTGGTCAATTGCAGCTCAAACGCGTCATAGCTAATTTGCATAAAGTTAACCAGTCTTCAACTTTCATTTGCAGCTAAATTCGCCGAACACCGCCGCTCATCACTTTTGCAGCTCAAAACGCAATCTGGTCGCCACTATCCATTGAAAATGAATTAGACCTAACGCCTTTGCAGCTCTGGCAGCTTTTGGTGTGAACGTACAGTTACACTTCCTGTGGATGTTTTACAGTAAAACCTGACTTGGAAAAATAGGAATAATGCCCTTTGAGCCACTGGAAGGTATTTAATGTAAACTTAGCCCCAAAAAGGTGCTATAATGTGAGCATATGCAGTAACAATTTTAGGGGGGAAGGCCATCGGCCTTACTGGAAATATGACTAAAATGCTTCCCCCTTGTGAACCTGATATTCTTTACCCTGGGGCTGAACCGAGATCCTATCATGACCCAGACCTATAGCTGATGACCAAGCTGCCTGAGCCACCCAGTAAACACATAACAAATATTTTAGGTCAACTAGCATGCTAAGGTAAATAGCATGCTAACAGCAGGCTAACCCTTTTCCACCAAATGAAGCGTGTGTGTGAAAATCCCGTTAAAAATAGCTAATCCACTCCTTTCCCACTGCCAGTAGACCAGAGTCATATTCTCTTTGTCTGATGTGTCAAAATGGAAAAACAGGTTGGTAAACAGTAGAAAGCAGCACGGAGGCCAGTGAAAATGTAATGGTGGTTACTCTTTTTCACTGTTTCTGTCTTCTTGTCAGACCCGGTGCTGAATAGATTTTTAATAATGTTTGAGTGCTGCTTGGACTGAGACGAATTGTGTTTTGTGGTGGTGCATCATTGCATTGCGCTAGCAAAGAGGCTAAAATTAGCATGTCCACACAGTTGTCTTATATCTATTGCTGTTGATCGGAGCTGTAGCCAAAAAATACCCATTACTACCTGGGAGTGAATGCTGATTGTAACCTTTCCCACTTAAGACAAAAGTCAATGTACAAATTAACTTTCTAATTCAATTTGGGATCCACTGATTTTGAAATTTTGCGCTGATACTGATACCAATGTTTAACAATTTGGCCAATAGCTGATACCAATGTTTTTATCTGTTTTATAGTGCTGTGAAAACATCAACACTTTTCTCCTTCAAACAGCTGCATTAATTCCTGTTTCTTTCATTTTATGAGATTACATTGAACACATCATGAGAATGTTATAATTTCCCTCACGTAATACTCATTTTTAATGAATAGAGGTTGAATGCTTCGCAGTGTAAATCAATGCAACCTCCGTGAGCTGTTTGTTGCGGCCACCGGCTGCTTATAGGTGATGATAACTTGCTCTTTTCCTGCTGATTTCATGTTGTTTCTCTCCACATCCACTCCTCTCAGTAGTGTAGTGGTAGTTGACTGGGCACCAGAGAGCTTTTGATCTTGATCTTGGTCTTGATCTTGTCATTTTGACATACAGCATGTTTCAGGGTTCACGTGATGTCAGATAACTCACCCATCTCCCCCAGAGAGCAGGTAAAGTGTAAGGAGCTGGGGAGGGGGGCAGGGGAGCATCAGGAACCCAGAGTAGAAGGCCTCCCTATTATTTAGTAGGCTTTGTTATGTAGTTATGTTGTTTTGTGGCCTTAAGTAATATTTCAAAATAATAGTGGTAATAGCATTAGTTAAAAAATTGTAAAAAGGTTAACATTTTGATTTTTTTTCCTTCTCCCATTTGTGGCGCCCCCTATGGATGATGGTGCCCTTAGCATTCACCTTTAGCGTATTTGCGGTAACTGACAGCTCATTGGCATTCTCTGACTTCCAAAAGTTCAGCTTTAGTTATGACTTTAGTTAAGTGTAGTTTATATAACCAAGAAAAGTGTCTTTTCAACACTGTTTTATTCATGCTAAGAAAGACGGTTTTCTCTGAGGGGCTCCACAAAGCATCACTTAACATTTCCTTATATTTCCATACACTCAATAGTGGATATGAACCTTTTTTTGTGAACCCTCATCTGTATTTCATTACTTTGTGACTCACACTTCTTCCAGGCTGTCCTACATGGATGCATATCTCCTTTCCCACTTCCACTCATCTCTTTCTCTCTCTTGTGGTTGGGTGCAGAGGAGGAGGAGGAGGAGGAGGCAGGGCTGGGTGTTATCGTACCTGGAGGAGAGCTCACTAAAGTGGGCCATGGTTATTCACCAGCTCCCCTCTTCCCTCTGGAGACCCTGTGGATCTGCACACTCGCTGGAAATCCCACAGGACTGTGCTCTTTTTCTATATCTGTGCTTTATTTTTTTCTATCTCCGCACATTTCTCTTTCTGTCTCTCTCTTAGTGCCGCACTTTTATTGTGGCCTCGCTACGTCTCATGTTTCCTCCTCTGCCTCAGTCTGTGGGGATGATTTTCTGCTGGATACTAATTCAAACTCCTTTCATTGTCACCCTCTTACCACAGAGACTTTGCATACAGTGCTGTGTCTCTTCCTCCCATATTGTTTGAGAACCGCAGTGACCCCTTTCCCTTCTTCTCTCCCTTAATGGTCTTGTCTTCTGTTGTTCTCAGGGTGGACCCAATGCCCCACGACACGCCCAAGCCGCCTGGCTACACCCGCTTCGTGTGCATCTCAGACACTCACTCCCGCACCGACAGCATCCAGATGCCGTATGGAGACGTGTTCATCCACGCCGGAGACTTCACCGAGCTTGGGCTGCCCTCAGAGGTCAAGAAGTTCAACGACTGGCTAGGTCAGCATCTCTGAAAGTTGTGGCTGTGGATCCAGAGCGGGTCAGGGTACTGTTTTCTCTAACTAGGTCCCCTTGTGATGATCTATTAATAAGGCCAGGGTCAGTGCCAGGCTAAATTTACTCAGTGTGGGTGCTGTGCTCAAAGTTTTTCAAGAAAACTTTAAATAGCAGAGGATTCTTTTAAGTTTTTAGTATTTCAGGGCTACATACACTTTTTTAACTGGTTTTTTTAACTGGTTTTTTTAAGTTAAAGGACTGTAGCTACCAGAGGTTCTTCACATTTTAGAACACTGACTACAAATTAAAAATCTGCTCTTCTTTACTGCTGATCATTTTCCCACACAGACCATGCATATTTAAAGAGATTTCCCCACTTTCTGAATCTTCCTTGCTGGTGAGTTCAAGGACACTGTGAGAAAATCAGATATTTGGGTTAACAGCACATTTTTTAAATGTAAAAAGCGACAACATTTTCTTCAGTGTTCTCACAATAGAGCTCATGAATGCAGCGCTTTGTGGCAGCTGATTCTCAAATCTTTGACTTCCTTCAACGTACCACAAAGGAGAGTTTTTAAGAAGGTTTTCTGCTCAGAACTGCACTTACACACAAGGCTAAATTGGCAAAAGAATCAAGTTGACTGAATGTTCATTGTGATGGGCAGGAGGTCTCTGCAAGTAAATTTATTGCACATGAATTAAAACCAACAGCTGCCTGGAAATAACAGAAAGTAACTCAAGTAAAAACTGATGCCATTCTTTGGAAAATGGACCAAAGTAATGTAAAGAGTTGTGATTTGTGTTAAACATGCAAAAGCCGCAGTCAGGTCCTTTAAGTGTGATGTGGTGCGGTGTGGGTCTGCTTTGTATTACACTCCTCTCAGCTCTGACACAGAGTGCAGGGACGTCCTGGTTCGTATGTGTGTAGTTGAACACTGACAGCAGAGCTCTGTCTGGAAAGAGCAGGAACAAACCGCTAAAACAAACCAGGCAAGTAAAGTTCACTCGAGATGATCCTCGCACAGCTTTCAATATTTCCCTCACCTTTTTAATACTGAAGATTTTCATTATATCAAGCCCTATTTTAATGCCTTTGCACTGGCAATAGCTGTAGCTGGAGGCGTTATGTGTTAGGGTTGTCCGTCTGTCCATCTGTCCATCCTATTCTTGTGAACAAGATATCTCTAGAACGCCTGAGTGTCAATTTTGACACAAATGTCCACTTGGATTCGACAATGAACTGATTAGAGTTTGGTGGTCAAAGGTCAAAGGTCACTGTGACCTCACAAAACATATTTTTGGCCTTAACTCAAGAATTCATATGCAGATCATGGCAAAATTTCACACATATGTCTAATAGGACATAATGATGAAGTGATGACCTTTTATATCCAAAAGGTTAAAGGTCTACTTCACTATGACATCATAATGTTCTGCATAAACACTCCTCCAGCCCTTATTCAGTGTCATCTCTCAGGAATAGAAGGGGAGATTTTTGGTCAGATACTGAATTGGTGACACTAATTTTGGGTGTCCACCTTGAAACTGTGCTGATTGTATAGCTCTTTTGTGCTGTCGGGGGGAAGATGTGTGTGATGTGTGTTTTCACAGGCATGCATGTGAACTGTAAGTACAACTTGACTGGTGCGCAGAGGCATACAAGTACAAGGCCATAGTTCTAGTTGATACTATTATAGATGGTGTTTTCAGCAACATAAGTTCAATGTATTTACATTCTCTAACTGCTCCTCTGTATAGTATTTTTTTTTGTTAATGCCAGTTCATGGTAGTGTTGTCACGGTACCAAAATTGGGACCTACAGTACAATACCAGTGAAAGTATCACGGTTCTGAGTAGTATCACGATACCACAGCAAAAATGAGGAAGATGTGCCTTTTGTCATTTATAAAAAGATGAATCATTTTTCTATAATACATCAATGATATTTCAATGGAATAAATTAATAATGCTGTTAATAAAACAGCATCAATAAGTGATTAACATAGGGGGGATCAAAATAAAATAAATAAATAAAATAAAAATCAACCAGCCACCCTCCTCCTCTGATAAATTAAGAACAGTCCCTTCATAAGTAAAGAACAGTCCCTAAAGTGTGGTGAGGTTTGTGGACCGTTACCTGCCGCAAAGAGAGAAATGTGAACGGTTCATTTCTCCTTTGACATGACACATACCTGTGTGCTGCCACGGCTCGGCTGTTCAGGTACTTTTGGAAGAGGAAAATATTGGACCTGGAGCCGGGCTTCTCGGTCGCCGGTAAACCGCGTTATCTTGCGCTATGGCCACCGTATTTGACAGGAATACAGCGGCATAGATCAGCTCTTGCCTACCATACACTAGAAAACTTGGAAAAGACTTTGAAAAGACTTAGGTGTGATAGCCACTCACATGTAAAGACAATGTGAGATTTTAGTCACACACTGCAAGATCTCACAGGGTCACTATTTGCAAACTACACCTAGATCCCTTTTGAGATTATTTTACATCCTAGTGAAAAAAATATTAACCAAACTCCCTTTAATGATATTTTAACACATCTTTACTAGGGATGCAACAGTCCTCGGTGAAATTTTGAACTGTTCGGTCCGCCCTGCATGGATCAATACGCCCTTATGGACCGCGGGTTTTCGGTTTTGCAATTAATTTTGCATTGATGTTTTACAGGCCACTGTGTGTGTGTGAGTGTGTGTGTGTGCCTATCCACAGGCCGGGTCCATGGATGTGAGACAGAAGTTCGAAGAAGCACCGGCTTCATACAAATCTCCAGTGTGGGATCATTTTGGTTTCGCTGTTGAATAAAACGACGAGGGAGTGAAAACAGTTAACAGAAATTTCACTGTCTGCAAACAATGCTTGAAACATGTCTAGTGTTTCCCGTACCATTATATTAGGGGGGCGCCCCACCTCCCCTGCCTTGTCCTTTTATTAAACAAACTAAATAGCCTTATGTCATTTATCTTATTTACACATATTTATCTTATTTATTTACGTTTACCATCCTCCTCTGCTCTCTGTATCGCTCATGGCGGAGTTCAGCCCCGATGCGCACGCACACACACACACACACACACATACACACACACACACACACACACACACACACACACACACACACAGACGTGAGCACACAAGAACGCGGCCCAGGCCGCATTTTTCTGACCGACAATTAGAACCGAGCCAGTCTATGGAGCGGAGCCTGTGTTGCGTTCAGGCGTTGTCACATAAATAAGAAATTCCAACACTTGAATAGGCTGTAGCACAACACAGCAGCATGTCAAGTGCAAAGTCAAGCAAAATAAAGAGATAATTTTGGGAAAAAAAATTGTTCTCTTTATGCACAAAACACGTACAGAAACCGAACTGAAACCGTGGCCCAAAAACCGAGGTAGAGACCGCACCATGGGCTACCTGTACCGTTGCACCCCTAATCTTTACGTGGCTGCAAAAACATTTAACACGAGATAAAGTGCGTCACATGTCATCAGTATTCTGGTTAATTCAGCATCAGTATAGTCCATAAAGATGAACTGTATTTGCATACAAACTCTTCATTTTGAATTTCGTTGCCACAACTCATTGCCAGCCTCTGTTTGTTAGCTATGATATTTAAGTGGGAGGAGACTTTGGGGATGAGAGGAGAACTTTTTCAAAAATTAAGATTTCTCTCTAGAATAAGTGCTGGTTGGCAGATCAGATACAGGCTAAATGAAACACTGACTCTTGTTCGCTCTACAACTCCACCAGTTTCTTCTCTTTTTCCACAGCACTAGAGAGCCAAGTCATGTTCTTGCACCTCCCCAGAGTCCCCTTCACGTTTACTGTCTACCGGCTTAGCTACTTCCTGTTTAGTGCTGGAGAAAGCGCCGCTATTGATTGTTGGCAGTGTTCCCGTCATTGAACTTCAGTATTTGCATGAGCCAGGACTAAAAACTTACAACAACATTAAACATTTTTGATGTTGTTGGATTATCAAGACAAGAAAAAGACTGACTCAAGACAGATCAGACTGAGTTTTATGACAACCTTACACCAAACCATCTAGATTCAAGATTGCGCACCATCTGAGGTAAAACTCTCATGATGTTTCTCCGACACTGGAGATTTATCTGTGACAGTGAAATTGCTTGAAAAGTTTGTTTGGTGTAACTATTTTTTTTTTAGTATTAAAGTATGTTGAATCACTATAATGTGATATGCAATAGCATTAAAGTTGTAGGTGGTAACTTCTTTATAAACAAAACAAAACAAAACCTTTTTGTAATATTTACTTAAACTGTCATTAAATCCTGACAGTAGACAGATAATCTGTAAAAACAATTCTGTTCCTTCTCCTTCTAGTGCTTCAAATACCATTTGCAAGAATCCACTGCGTCTGAACACCCAATCAGAGCCAAGGAGTCTCTAACACAGCTGTCAAGCATGTGAATCACTGCTCATGAACTGCGGTCAAAGTTGGTGACCCGGCTGCCATGTTGAAAACAGCTGAGCCAAAACGAAGCTCCAGTCATTGGGCAGAGTAAACTTTCTCATGTTGCAGCTAAACAGTACACTAAAATGTGTTCGTGAAACTGATTAGATTTTGGTGATCAAGGGTCAACGTCACTGTGATCTTGTATCTATGCCATTCTCATCAATTCAATAGATCAAGCACACCCTGAGTGAACTTTTTCAAATTGGGCACAAGCCTCCACTTGGACTCAAAAATGAATAGATCAGATTTAGGTGGTCAAAGGTCAAGGTCACTGTCACCTCATCTGTCTCATTCTTGTGAATGTGATATCTTAAGAACACCTTGAGGGAATTTTTTGCACATTTGGCACAAATGTCCACATGGACTCAAGAATTAACTGATTAGATTTTGGTGGTGAAAGGTCAAGGTTAATATGACCTTACATCCATATTATTCTTGTGTAAACGATATCTCAAGAATACCTTGTGTAGATCCTCTGTGCTGCTGGGCGTAAGATGTGTGTGGAGCATCCATG